TAGAGGTTATATTGTGCTTAAAACCTCTCAAATAGGAGCCGAAATTGTTAGATTTGCAGTCCTGCATAACGTGAGCATTAGTCGAGTGGACAGGACAGTCAAGGAACCCCAGCTAAGTCATGTCTATATATTTATGTTGAAATTCTGGCCAGTATTTTCTTCATACTTTAGGCAGGGGGTTTGTGTATGACACACAAGTGATCTCCAGACTAATTGGCAAGTGTATTAAGATAAATTCTCCTTCAATGTACAGTGGACCCCCGCATAGCGACTTTAATCCGTGCAAGAGGGCTGATTGTTATGCGAAATGATCGGTATGTGAATTAATTTTCCCCATAAGAAATAATGGAAATCAAATTAATCCGTGCAAGACACCCAAAAGTATGAAAAAAAAAAATTTTACCACATGAAATATACATTTTCCTACACACAAAGAGAAGGATACATGCACAATAGTAGAGTAGTACATGCACAATATATATTGTGCATGTACTACTCTACTAAATGAAGAATAAATGACACTTACCTTTATTGAAGATGCAGCAATGACTGATGAGACACTGTGTCCTGGGAGTGCCCTTTCCTCCTGAGTACTGTAGGTCCTGTTTGGCATTTTCTTCCAGAACAGGCCTTATCACACTGTGTATGCCACTACGATTCTTAAATCTCTCAAACCAACCTTTGCTGGCTTTAAATTCACCAATATGAGCACTAGTTCCAGGCATTTTTCCCTGTTCACCTGGGTGTTAGTCGACTGGTGTGGGTTGCATCCTGGGAGACAAGATTAAGGACCCCAATGGAAATAAGTTAGACAGTCTTCGATGACACTGACTTTTTTGGGTTATCCTGGGTGGCAAATCCTCTGGGGTTAATTGTTTCTTGGTATTCTCAATAAGCCACACCAACAACGGTGCTACAGCAGCAGCAGCAGCAACTGACAGTGCTACAGCAGCAGCAGATGATGCTACAGCAGCAGCAGACGGTACTACAGCAGCAGCAGACGGTACTACAGCAGCAGCAGACGGTACTACAGCAGCAGCAGCAGCAGCAGCAGCTGACGGTGGTACAACAGCAGCAGCAGCAGCTGACAGTGCTACAGCAGCAGCAGACAATGCTACAGCAGCAGCAGACGATGCTACAGCAGCAGCAGACGGTACTACAGCAGCAGCAGCAGCTGACGGTGGTACAACAGCAGCAGCAGCTGACAGTGGTACAGCAGCAGCTGACGGTGGTACAACAGCAGCAGCAGCTGACAGTGCTACAGCAGCAGCAGACGATGCTACAGCAGCAGCAGACGATGGTACAGCAGCAGCAGACGGTACTACAGCAGCAGCAGCAGCAGCTGACGGTGGTACAACAGCAGCAGCAGCTGACAGTGCTACAGCAGCAGCAGCAGATGGTACTACAGCAGTAGCAGCAGCAGCAGCAGCAGCAGCAGCTGATGGTGGTACAGCAACAGCAGCAGCTGACGGTGCTACAGCAGCAGCAGCAGCAGCAGCAGCAGCAGCAGCAGCTTACGGTGGTACAGCAGCAGCAGCAGCTGTACCACCAATAGTAGCGATGGTTGATTGGGGTTTATTATACAACCTGGCCAGCTCGGAGACACGCACTCCACTTTCATACCTATCAATGATCTTTTTCTTCATCTCTATAGTAATTCTCACCCTTATTGCTGTAGGGTTGGCACTAGAAGCTTTCTTGGGGCCCATGGTCACTTATTTTCCAGATAAAATCACCAAAAACACTGTAATAATACGAAATGTTCCGATTGTATGCTTGGATGTTACTGCGGAGGCTGGCTAGTAAACAATGCCACTGGCGGCACATGTGAGGCTGGCTAAGGGCGCACATTGGACGCGTCTCGAAGAGCGGTGAGCGGGTTTTTGAGCGGTATGTGAGGCAAAATTTTTGCGATAAAAGCGAGCGGTATGCGGATTGAACGTTATGCAATGCGTACAGTATGCGGGGGTCCACTGTATATGTATTCATTTTTTAAATTTAATATACAGTCCACATATTTATATTAATGTTTTACCAGAGTTCCCGGTCATGTATATTTCATTTGAAATTAATATAAGTCCAGAGTGACTTGTGGAGATAGAAAGAGTGGAGTAGGTATCAAAGGGGACATTTTTTGTGACCTAGAGTGTCCTAAAATTCCTACATGTCTCTGTAACCTTGATAAAGAATAATTATCTTTGTTACCATTTACTGGTATGTATCTTATGAGGTTCATCCAGATATTTTAAATTTTCCATACATCTAATATGACATAAAAACCAATATAAATAACATAGAAACATGATATATACTCTAGAATGAATAAAATATGTCATTATGTAACAGGTGGAGGCGGCCACAACCACTCCCTCTTTTGTGGTAAACACTGCCATCTAGTGATGGCCTTTTGAAGCTGTCTATTATTATAATTATTATGTGTAGTATATTATTGTTATAGATCTGTATTATTATTATACATATTATATTATTATTATTGTTATTATTTTTTTTATTTTCAACAAGTCAGCCGTCTCCCACCAAGGCAGGGTGACCCAAAAAAGAAAGAAAATCCCCAAAAAGAAAATACTTTCATCATCATTCAACACTTTCACCACACTCACACATTACACATTATCACTGTTTTTTCAGAGGTGCTCAGAATACAACAGTTTAGAAGCATATACATATAAAAATACAGAACATATCCCTCTATTATTATTATACATATTATTATTATACATATTATTATTATACATATTATTATTATACATATTATTATTATTATTATATAAATAATTTGTAATTTTTATTCACACAAAAAATATAAGATTTACTGTTATTCCTTATTGCAATAATTGTATAAATAATGTCAACCCATTCATGACTGCATATTGGAATGGACAGTGATGTCATATGTTTACTCTGAAACAGCCAAGCAATGGACCATTTCTCCTAGGTTGAGCTCAATTTCAAGGCACTGTTCGTCGTGAAAACAATCAAAATCATATCTGTTTCTGTAATATATCTTCCATTCTATCAAATGAGACCAAGAAAACGAGAATACAACCATAAAAACCATTCAAAATTACCGCTAATTGCTGAGAAGTGAACTCCATTATTTATGCTTAAGATTTCTTTCATTTTTGGTGTACATTAAGAAGCATCTTTCCATCATACATTGCCCAAGTTTCAATATGATAGTCCAACAAACAAATGAGATACAATTCCCGAGATCAAGAGCAAGAGCCCCTCACCAGTGTCAAGGAACCTGCCTTGAGGTCTGCTCGCTTGTGGAAATTTTGCTCGCGTATGGAAGCAAAAAATCAACCCATCGACTGCTCGTATTTGGAAAAACAAGCACGTGGATACGCTCACAAGTAGAGGTTCCACTGTACTACTACTAATATTATTATTATTATTATTTTTTTTTTTTAAACAAGTCGGCCATCTCCCACCAAGGCTACAGTTCTCTAAATTAATAATAATAATAATAATAATAATAATAATAATAATAATTTTTTTTTTTCAACAAGTCGGCCGTCTCCCATATTAATAATTCAGATTGCTTCTGCTAGTTAGCACAGCTGTTAAGCAGTAAACATGTTTACATAGCTGTGGGACCAGTTTCTCATGCTTGTTTGAATTTTTTACAGTCATTTGGCCAAATTTCTTTTTTTAACCATGGGTCTTAAGAAAATAAGTGCAAAGGACAGTGATTTCCATCAGCATCCCCCATCCACACTTTATATAAACAGTTTTTATACGATATTTCTTATTTATAAATACATTATTTCAGTGTTTTCCTTAGAAAACTAGTGATCTACTGCAGTTAGCCTCAAAAATACTCCATTTTCTCTTACAGTAAGAACATGGGAAGATACTATAGTCAAATTGGGACAGAAATGGCAGATGCTACTGCTGCTGCCTCTGCCACCATATTATGGCCTATTTATATTGTTTATTATGTCATATTAGATGAATTGTGATAGATAAATAAGCCGTAGAGTTGATAATAGCGTCATACTCAAGTATTTTTTCTCTGGCCTGAGTGCAGGAACGGATTAATGGCTTTTCAATTAATTTAAATGAGGAAAATTAATTTGATATACGAGAAAATTGAGTTACGAGATAGCTCCTGGAACGGATTAAACTCATAAGTCAAGGTTGCACTGTTTTTGTACCACATAAAAAATAAATAAAAATTGGAATTTGAATATTAGATATGGGACCAAAAATTCAATCTAACTCCTGTAAACTCAAATAATTACAGTTAAATAATACACCATTTGTATGAGAAAAAATGAATGGAGAAAATATAACAAAAAGCAGATAAGAGAAAACAGATGAAAACAGGCAAAAGGTCGCAATGATGAGAAAGTAACTAGAATCCTGGAGTGTAGAAGAATTTAAGCAAAAATTCTCAATGGGACATAAATGGAATGAAATAGTGTAGAGGTATACAATATTTATACAGGGCAGCTTTAAGACCCTTCTTAGATCCAAACAGAAAAGACAATGCTAGCCACAGATTCACATTGAGTATTTTATTAACAAAATGTCAGAGGAGCAGCAAAAACAATTTCTGTAGCTGCCTGGGTCTGAACTTTCAATCTGGTAAAAAACTGAGTTTCTAGATCATAAGAAAACCAAGCAGCCTATGACATTATAGAAGCTTTCACTGTTTAGAAAGGGTGAACCTCTTTATATTATTATATTTATAAGGAAACACTAAACCCACAAGGATCATATAGCACAGTCTCTTCTATAGATATTTCCTTAGATAACATATTGGTCAAATGGTAAAAAATTTATGTGAAAGGATAAAACAAATGTGGAAGGGTTGAAGAATACCACTCCAAGCATAGAAAAGGTAAATAGAAAGAAAATAATTTGAATAAAGAAGCTAAAAGGTGAAGGCAGTGCAGTGAATGAACTACCATTTTTTTTGAGAGAGAGATTCCAATGAGTTGGTTTCATGAAATTTCTTAAGAGGCACTTACATGTCCTAAAGATGGTCCACGAGGAATGATGGTCACTTTGTGTAGTGGGTGAGAATCCTTTGTGTAATATGCCACAAGTGTGTGTCCACCTTCATGATAAGCTGTTACTAGATTTGCTTCTTCATCTGGGATGCGAGACTTTCTTTCTGGTCCTGAAAAAATTATACATGTTTCTCCTATATAAAAGAAGGAAATTAAAAGTGAACAAAGAAAACAGCAAGGTAGTGAGAATAAGAAAAAGATTAAGTAATGAAAGATTGGACATCACATTGGAAATAGAGTATAGAAGTGAATGTATTTAGGCATTTGGAAAAGGATGTCATCAGCAGATGGATGTATGAAAAATATTATTATTATTATAATCAAAAAGAAGCGCTAAGCCACAAGGGCTATACAGCGTATGAAAAATAAGTTGAATCATATAATAGATGACTGGAAAAATGGTTGGTGAGTACCAAGGCATCTGTGGAAGGAAAAGTATATCAATGGAAGCAAAAGGGAGAATGGACAAGAATAGTGGTACCAAAACATTTATAAGAGTAATGTCTTTAAATGTTACAATGAGGAGGAGTTTAGAAGCATTGCAGATGTCATTACCCATACAAGAAGAAACACTTTCATCATCACTGTCTTGCCAGAGGTGTGTCAACACTATAGCTCAGATGCCCCTCCAAACTGCAATATCCCCAAAACTCCTTCAGAGTGCAGGCAATGTACTTTCCAGCTCCAAGATTCTAGTCTGGCAAACCAGTTTTCCCAAATACTTTCATACATGCTCCCTTGCTCAAATTCCAACAGCACATTAAGTCATAAAAAGCAATTACTTTTACTCACAGTAACCTCAAATACCACAGTGACTCACCCATGAGGACTTTGTCTCTCGCTGCCTCCAGATGTTTCATGGTGACTGCATCTACCTGATCAGCAGCTGCTCTCAATGCTGCCTGGTTGGTTACATTCTTGATGTCTGCACCTGCAATTATTTGATTTAGTTAATCCTTCAACTGAGTCTCCTAATTTCTACACTCTAAATTCTATGCATAATATCCACACCACACATTGGTTTCAAGTATGACACTGCCACTGCCTTTAGCTTCCTCCTTGTTGCCTATACCTCACACTCATATAAATTTTGGTACCACTATACTCTGGTACTCTCAGTAGATAAACTTCTTTCTTTCCACAGAAGTCATAATGAAAGAGACTTTTCACCGAACGTATGAAATTTGATGGAAAACTTATGGAATTATGCTTTCACAGAGTTGGCAGTCTCGGCGATATTTATGCATTAGTGATTTTGCCCACTCTGAGTTCTATTTTTGGCCAAACTCTTACCTATTTCATTAGTATGCCTTCCATTCTATTGAATGAGTATAAGAAACAATAAAGCAATCAGAAATTGGTAATTTGGCCAATTTCACACAAAATAAAATTGCCATTTTAAAAATAGGGTCTGGAATATAAAATAAAGACATTCCTGGCACTAAAACATTTCCTCTGTTCATTAGTTATGTCCCCAGGCCTCTTCTATATTACACTTGCTTTTCATTTTGAATTTTTAGTCACAAAAACAAAAAAGATTTACTGTCATTGCATTATTGTAATAACTGTATAAATAATGACAACACATTCGTAAATGTGTATCACGCCACCAGTTGGACGCAAATTAGATGAATGACGTAATATGTGTCTTCTGGAATATCAGCAAATACTGAATATTTCCGCTACTTAGAGCTGAATTTCAAGCTACTTCCAGTCGTGAAACTGATCAAAATCATCTCTATTTCTGTAATACAGTAGGGTCCCGCTTTATGGCATTTCGCTTTATGGCATTCTGCTAATACAGACATTTCAAATTATGACCAAAACTCGCTACACGGCTCGCCCCACCTGACTAATACGGTCACTGCACTCCATGCAGTTTGTTTATATTCTCCATGAGCTCTGTGAGCACTACGTCTCTCCATTATGTCTGGAAACTTTCCAAAAATTCAAGTGTTTTTAAAAGTTATTTCATATTTTATATATACAGTGGAACCCTGAGTTACGAGTTTAATCCATTCCTTGACCTAGCTCGTAACTCAATTTACTCGTATATCAAATAAATTTTCCTCATTAATCTGTTCCTGCACTCTGGAGACAAGACAAAATACTTGAATATGACACTAATATCAACTGTACGGCTTATTTATCTATCACAATTCAAATAATATGACATAACAATATAATTAACAAAGAAGTATGATATATACTCTAGAATGAATAAAATAGGCCATAATATGGTGGCAGAGGCAGCGGTGGAAGCGCCCGCCATTTCCTGTCTAACTTTGACTATAGTATCTTCCAATACTCTTATTGTAAGAGAAAATGGAGTATACTCCACCTCTATTCAAAAGTCTTAATTTGCTCACCATAAAGAACATCCACACTTATTCATGTGCCTACTACTTACATAGAACAATACACACAAACATAAACCCTCCACTCAAACATCTCCTCACCAACCTTAACAGGACACACAACCATAACACAAGACAGATCTCGTTTTGATGTACCCCATGTCCATATCACACTGTGTAAAAACTCTATGCACATAAAGGGCCAAAAATCTGAAATTCATTACCAGAACATACTAAAGAAACCATGGCTTGAAAATCAATTTAAGACTCTTCTAAAAAAACCACTTACTCACCCAGGACTAAATAATCAACACTCAATATTTAACCCTATCAGAGTTTCGGACGTACTAGTACGGCTTACGCACCAGGGTTTTTGACGTACTAGTACACCTAAATTCTAGCGCCCTCAAATCTAGTGAGAGAAAGCTGGTAGGCCTACATATGAAAGAATGGGTCTATGTGGTCAGTGTGCATGGTATAAAAAAATCCTGCAGCACACAGAGCATAATGAGAAAAAAAAACTTTGACCATGTTTTTGGATTAAAACAGCGACTTTGCACTGTATTTCGTATGGTATTTATTGCTGTATTCTAGTTTTCCTGGTCTCATTTTATAGAATAGAAGACATATTACAGAAATTCAGATGATTTTGACTGGTTTTACAATGAAAAGTACCTTGAAATTGAGCTCAAAGTAGCAGAAATGTTCGATTTTTACCAAAGTTCAAAAGTAAACAAATCATGCTATGCGTCCAATACACGTCAACTGGTGAGTCTAATATTCTTTCACAAGTGCGCCGATATTATTTATACCAAAAGTATGAAATTTGATGGAAAACTTACGTAATTATGCTCTCGCGAAGTTAGCGGTCTCAATGATGTTTACGCATCGGCGATTTTGCCCACTTTGAGACCTATTTTCGGCCAATTCCAGTGTACTAGTTGATAAAAATCATAACTATTTCACTAGTACTCCATTTTTTCTATCAAATGAGTACAAGAAACCACCCACTTATCAATTTCAACTATCCAATACAGTGGTCAGAATTTAGCAATTTTGCCAATTTCATACAAATTTCAAAAAATGACAATTTCCGAATAGGGTCCAGAATAAACAAGACATTCCTGGCACTAAAATGACATTTCCTCTGTTCATTAGTCACGTCCAAATGCCCCTCTTACATTCTTTTGCTTTCCACTTTGAATTTTCATTCACACAAAAAAAATAGAAGATTTACTGTTATGCAGACTACTGCATTAGTGTAGAAATGGTATAAATTATATCAGTGCACTTGTGAAAGAATATTAGACTCACCAGTTGATGTGTATTGGACGCATAGCATGATTTGTTTACTTTTGAACTTTGGTAAAAATCGAACATTTCTGCTACTTTGAGCTCAATTTCAAGGTGCTTTTCATTGTAAAACCAGTCAAAATCATCTCAATTTCTGTAATATGTCTTTCAATCTATAAAATGAGACCAGGAAAACTAGAATACAACAATAAATACCATACGAAAATACAGTGCAAAGTCGCTGTTTTAATCCAAAAACACGGTCAAAGTTTTTTTTCTCATTACGCACTGTGTGCTGCAGGATTTTTTTATACCGCACACACTGACCGCATAGACCCATTCTTTCATATGTAGGCCTACCAGCTTTCTCTCATTAGATTTGAGGGCGCTAGAATTTAGGCGTACTAGTACATCAAAAACCCTGGTGCGTAAGCCGTACTAGTACGGCTGAAACCCTGAAAGAGTTAAAATAATAATGAATGCCGTCAACTCAGTGCACTGTTTACCTCGCTGTGGGAGCAGTTCTCTCATGCTTTGCTTACATTTTTGACAGTCATTTGGCCAAATTTCATTTTTCTAAGCATGGGTCCTAAGAAAGTAAGTGTAAAGGACAATGCCGAGAAGAAAAAGAGGATGACTTCCATGGAATTAAAGCACGAAATCATAGATAAACAAACAAGGTGTCCAGGTTTTGTGTTGATGGGGAAGCAGGGGGAGCTGGCTCGTAACTCAAAACAAAAAATTGACCCAGGGATGGCCCGTATCTCAAAAAACTCGTACGTTGGGACACTCGTAAGTCAAGGTTCCACTGTACTCTGAAAATTATACTTATGTATACCTGTACCTAAATAAACTTACACATTGTGCTGGCGTGCAGGAACACATTAAAATCACTAAGTGTGTCTTATGTTTTGAGACACCAATTAATAATATAATAATAATACTCAATAATAATCACTGAGTCTCATTAAATGTGGTATATTACATATATTAATATACACATTTTCATTACTCCATCTAGGATATTTTTTTAAATATAATAAATATGATACGTAATATATAAACATGATAAATACACCCCAGAGTAGAATAAATTAGCATAAATATGAGATGTGGTAGCCAGACGACTTGTATGAGTGATGGCAAGAATAACGTTTTCTCTAATCCAACATCAGAGAATTTTTTTTTTTTAACAAACCGGCTGTATCCCACCAAGGCAGGGTGGCCCAAAAAGAAAAACGAAAGTTTCTCTTTTTAAATTTAGTAATTTATACAGGAGAAGGGGTTACTAGCCCCTTGCTCCTGGCATTTTAGTCGCCTCTTACAACATGCATGGCTTACAGAGGAAGAATTCTGTTCCACTTCCCCATGGAGAATCAGAGAAAATGTGTACACTTTAATAATAATGGGGGGGGGGGGGTGACTGAAAAAATTATTCCTTTTGTATGCCTTCACTCAGAGCATCATTTCTTCTAAAAATGGTGTCACATGAGAATGGGAGTGTTGCTCTTTATTTATTCTACTGTATCAACATGGAGACAACTTGTACACATACCAGACGCATTTGCCTGGTTTGTTTACAAAATTCAAGTCCGCCTGGTTTGTTTATAATAACTCCACGTCTGTCCTCTCTCATATACTCATTCTCTCTCATTTATTTGTTTTATCTCGTTTACTCACCTTTGACCCTACATTAAGACTACAAATATTTTAAGGTAAGTAATGAGTGAACTGTATGTGCAATTTATCGCTCTGGGACGCTTTAAATGTCATAGAATATTATGTGAGGGTGGGGTGGCCTGGTATGGTAGGTATGGGAGCTTGACTGGCTACTATACATACCACACTTGATTTCTTACAATAAATACTACTCATCTCACCCTACATTAAGACTACAAATATTTTAAGGTAAGTAATGAGTGTACTATAGTATGTGTATTTTATTTTTTATTGTTTTTAATAACTAGTTCTATTGCTAACATAATACATGTTAGTGTACACTTGTTTTTTTTTATTATCACACCGGCCGATTCCCACCAAGGCAGGGTGGCCCGAAAAAGAAAAACTTTCACCATCATTCACTCCATCACTGTCTTGCCAGAAGGGTGCTTTACACTACAGTTTTTAAACTGCAACATTAACACCCCTCCTTCAGAGTGCAGGCACTGTACTTCCCATCTCCAGGACTCAAGTCCGGCCTGCCGGTTTCCCTGAATCCCTTCATAAATGTTACTTTGCTCACACTCCAACAGCACGTCAAGTATTAAAAACCATTTGTCTC